ATCAATGGGGGAAAAAGGGGACATATGTAATACTTTCAACAATAAAGAATTATTAAAAAGAAAGAAAGAAAAATAAAAGACTTATTTGCTATGTGACCTCTAGTTTTCTATAAAATGAAGTTCAATACTAATTACTTTGCAGGGTTATTTTGAGGATAAGAAATGATAAAGTTCTAACACAGGGACTGGCACAGGCATAGACACTCAATAATTGGTAATTATTCTCTTTACTGCCAGAGACCAACCTTGACTAAATCCATGCACTAATTAAAAAAAAAAATTAGTGGTTATAGAAGTCACACTGAAGAATTTACCAGGCAAAAGTGGGCCACAATTTACAAACATCTCTCCACAACACTACCAACTCTAAAATAAGCTCTGAAATCGCTACAAATCTATTCCAGAGGAAGAAATATAAAAATGCAAAACTGGGCCTGGCTGGTATTCTCAGTGGTTAGAGCATTGTCCTGTGCACCAGAGGGTCACAGGTTCAATTCCTGGTCATGGGCACATACCTGGGTTGCAGGTCCAATACCCGCCCCCCCGCCCGGTTGGTGCATGTGAGAGGCAACCAATCTATGTGTCTTTGTCACATGGATGTTTCTCTCTCTCCCCCTCTCTTCCACTCTCGCTAAAAACCAATGGAAAAAATATCTTCATGTGAGAATTAACAAAAAAAGAAAAATAAGAAACAGAGGAGGTTTTGAAAAACATGCAGTGAAGTCAGGAAAAGGCAGTTTCTCCTCTATTCCACTCCATTCCAGCTAGGCACACTGAGAGCACATTCCCCTGGCAGGAAACCCTTTGTCAGCATAAAGGGCTCTCTGGATAATGCTTCCTTTCCATTTCTGATGTACAATAGCATCATTTTTCTAAGTAGAATAATACACAGCACCTTGGATGAACAAAAGGTTATAATTTAGCCAAGGCCTCTGCTGACGTCTGAAAGTGAAGGCAGCAAATAATTGAGATGAAATGACTACTTTAGTGATCCTCCAAGATATCAGACTTATTCCACATGGTTGATCTTTATTACATGTATGCAAGAATTATATACATGGGCATCGGGTCACCTCCCACACTACAAACCAGAAAGATATGCCCTGTGAAAAAATAACCTAGATGAGCAGTTTCTTAGATTCAGTATCAGAGGCCTCAAAAGATACATACACAGCTTTTAAGTCATAGAACAAAAAACCCCCAAGTAACTACTTTTGCAAGCCTACATCTAAATAGTACACCATCATGCTCTACATACAGAACAGAGTAAGTTCCATTACCTGAATTCATTCTACATCAAGGCAACAGTTAAGTTTATAGTAAAAGGAGGAGGAAATTATCTGTAGACTTCAAGCAAAGAGAATACTGTAGTGCCCCCATTATCTGCAGGGGAATCCATTCCAAAATCCCCAATGGATGCCTGAAACAGCAGATAGTGCCAAACCCTATATATGCAATATTTTTTCCTATAACACATTCTATGATAAAGTTTAATTTATAAATTAGGCACAGTAAGACATTCACAATAACAATAAAGTAGAATAATTATAACAATATACTGTAATAAAAGTTGCGTGAATGTAGTCTCTCTCCGATAACCAACCTGATCATTGAGATGGCTACTAAGAGACTAACACATAGGTAGTATGGCTACACTGGACAAAGGAACAATTTGTATCTGGGTGGGATAGCATGAGATTTCATCACCTCTCTCTATATAAAAAGCCAGCGACCGGAACGCTGGAACGACCGGTCGCTGTGACACCCACTGCTGCCAGCAAACCAACCCCATCAAGGGTGGGGCTGGCCAGCCACGGCCCCAACCCAGATCAGCCCCATAGGGGGCGGGGCTGGTTGGCCAAATGCCTGTGACCCCGCCCCCCGCCACCTCCTCATTGCCCCCCCCCAATTAAGGGCAGGGCCAGCCAGCCAATCACCCGCAGCCCCTCCCCCTGGCCACTGGCCCCAATCACCCTCCATTGGGGGGCAGGGCCTGCTGGCCCACCACCCCTTCCCCTGGCTGGCCCCACCCCTGATCAGCCGCCACCACCCAGATTGGCCCACGGCCCCCTCCCCCAGCCAGCTCTACCCCTAATCAGCACTCCCCCACTCCAATCAGGGGCAAGGTGGGCAGCTACTGCCCACAGCTGCTCCCCTGGGCTGGCCCCGCCCGCCCACACCAATTGGGGGCGGGGCCTGCCTGCCAATTGCCTGTGGCCCCTCTCCCTGGCCCCGATTGGGCCCCAATCGGGCCAGGCCGGCCAGACCCCACCCATGCACAAATTTGTACACTAGACCTCTAGTTATTCAGAATAGTGCACAATTTAAAATTTAGGAGTTGTTTATTTACAAAATTTTCTATTTAACCCCTTCCCCAACAATTTTTTTGTTAAAAACGTTTCTTTTTCAGACTAATTTTTTTATTTTGGTTCTATATAGTATTTTTGATGCTGGTTATGAAAACAGTTTGTAACTCGTCTTCCTATAAACCATATTTTTTTACCATATTTTCTTAGTATACTCGTCGACGACTGAAAAAGAACATTTTGTGAAAACGAGTATACACGTTTCTGCCAGGGAAGGGGTTAATATATTTGGACTACAGTTGACCACATGTAACTGCAACCATGAAAAATAAAAAATCGTTGATAAGGGGGACTAATGCATTTCCTGAATGACGATTCCAGAAAGTCAAACTCACTAAATCTCAAAATTTCACAAGTGCAATAATGAAAGAGGGTGAACAGATCTAAAGGCCGGATCCCCAGGAAAGGAAAAGAGAAGAATAACATTATCTTCCAGTGAATATCAAGCTTTAAAACAAGAATAGAAAATGGGTAGCTAATCACCGCCCACCCCCCCTAAAAAAAACATACAAAAATACCAACTCTTTTCAGTTTCTAATTATGGAAAGTAAACAAGGGTAAGAAAAGACCTTAGGACTGAGCAACTAAACCTAAATTGGTCAAATTCAACTTTTGGTCAACTTCTGATAGGTTGTATCACCTAAAAGCAAATCACAATGGAAAAATGTCCTGGGAGAAAGAACAAAGGTAAAGTCAGAGAGGTTTATTTGTATAGGAGGTGCTGAAGAGGATTACCAGAATATAATTCTTCTGTGGAAATTACTGTCTTGGCTAAGAGATCAACTTTTTGTATTTTTACCTAACTCCATTTGAAATTTCATATGGCTCAATTTTCTCAACTTAGGCTGCAAAGTTAAAATAACCTGGGTATCTTTTAAAAACATCAATGTTTAGGTCCTCCCAGAACTTCTGTTTAATTTGCTCTAGGGTTGGGCCCAAACACTGACAGTATTTTTTTAAAAATATGGTACTAATTATGTAGCTAAAGTTGAGAACCACATGCTTGAAATCAAAGGTTAGTAGCTGCCATACTTCATTTGCAGCACACCACTGACCTCTATGGGTAAGGCTCTGTTAGAACTAATGATAAAAACAGCAGCCTCAGTCTAGAGCAGCAGTTGCCAATCGGTTGGTCCATGGGCCACTGGTCGTCCGTGAGGTCCAAAAGGTTGGCGACCACTGGTCTAGAGGCCTTGTTGATAGCCTTTCTGAAAATGAACACTGAGCTTATTATAACCCAGTGCTAGGCATCCACATAACTCTAATCCTGGCCATATTTTAAGTGGGGTCTGGGTCAAATTTTATCACTCCTAGCAACACTATTCTTCCTAGAGAATAAAAGACAGACCTTTAACAAAATAATTGCAAGGGTTTTTTGTCCTCCCTCAATTAATGTGGGGCATTACAAGAGCCAGAAATGTGTTTACTACTGAAGTTAAGAGAAAAAGGCACCTGGGTTTACCAACGGGTATACCTCAAACAGCAAAATGAAGTGGCTCATAGTGGTTACAGATAGTCTATGTCTTTACTGCCCAACATGTGGTCCACAAACCTGGGAGCTTGTTAGAAACGCAGACTCGTAGGCCTTACCCAAGACCAACTAAATTAGAATTTGTCTTGGAGATCTCCAAGAGACTTATGTGCTCATTATAGTTTGAGAAGCACTGCTATGAGGCAACAATTCACTCAAGAAATGGTATTATGTATATAGATTAAGTGAAAAATTTTAAGGATTATTTTTCTCCTTAAATTAGGTCATTTGCACAGGAACATTTAAAAAGTGGCAGTCTGCCTGACCAGCGTGGCTCAGTGGTTGAGCGTCGACCTAAGGTCACGGTTTGATTCCCAGTCAGGGCACATGCCTGGGTTGTGGGCTCGATCCCCAGTGTGGGGCATGCAGGAGGCAGCCAATCAGTTTCTCCAATTTACTCCTCACCCTCTAATAGAATATTCTTTACAAAAAGAGAAAAAAGGCCCATATGTGATGCTGGCTACTATAATCTAAGGAAGTTCTAACAGTTTTTCTATCTAATGTAATACTTGTGAGAATTCTAACAGATGACTGAATAGCTATGTAAAAATAAGGAGAAACCTCATTGGTTTTAGGGGTTCATAAGAGCTAATACAAAGCCAGAAGATGTAACACATCTAGCCCATCCCTTGTGGATCAATGGATTGAGCATCATCCCATGCACCAAGAGGTCAGCAGTTTGATTCCCAGTCAGGGCATATGCCCAGATTGCAGGCTGGATCCCCAATAAGGAGCATGCAGAAGGCAGCCAATCAATGTTTCTCTCTTTAAAAAAATCAATAAAAACATACTAAAAAAAAAAAGATGTAACATGTCTCTTCCCTTCCATGCTAAAATGGGTCAAGAAACAAGAGCATAGAATTCTGGGCCAGGCAACATCAAAACATAGGACTTCTTTCTCCCCTTCATCTTTCAAACTTAATTTGTCATTCTTAAGTAAAATAAGCAACCAGAACAATTAATAATTAGGGTTGTTAACACATTAACTTGAGAAGGATGTAACATTCAACTTGTTGTTGATGCATCAACAGAATAGGAAAAGCTATTTCAATGTTTATAAGGGATTTCTGGAAGTCACCATGAATATTTCAATATTCATTTTTCAGTCTCCTGAGTCTCTAAGGAGGCTATACAGCATTGCAGAATAATCATCTGAGGAAACTACTGTTCTTATATCATCGGTCAACTACAGCCACTAAAGACATGAATACGAAAAGCAAACACTTATATCACACTTATATCCCCCCCAAAACGCTACAGGAGTGCTCATTTATGTCACTATAGCTGGAGTCCAGACCTTGGTCAGTGTAGACTCTGAAAGCAGGACTTCCCATTAATAAAATGCACAACCCACAGAGATATGGCTATAACCCTATTTCCTTAGATTCTCTGCCTGCCAAAAAGTAAATGTACCTATAGTGGAGGACATGAATGCAGGATAGAATACTGCTCATGAAGTAGAAGAGAAAATGCTGGTATATGTAGTGAAAAGTAAGGTTGTTTTGTTTATATAATCTCTGAGAACATACATTTTCAATCATGGCATCTGCCTTCTAATTTCTGATGTTGAATAAATCAGTTTGTTGGGTACCTTTCTAGTCATTAGGTTGACAAACATCTTATTTGCAACTGTCTAGCTAAAAGAGCCCATCTAATCCCATCACAGTTAAGTATCTAGTTTGCAGGGAGCCATGTGATGAGACCTGGTTTTTTTCTGGCCTTCTACACAAATGGAAGGTCATGTTTAATATTTCTCATTTATCTTCTACAGCAACAAAAACTAATTTTGGTTCCCATTGGTGGCACATATTCAGATACTCTAGACTTTGGAGCCTTTTAGTTTTAGAATCCTGGAAGCTAATTAAATTGGAGGTATGACGGGTGGGAGCAGGGGGAGAGGAAGAATAATTAAGCAGTACTTCCCAACTGTAATAAAGGTATGTTTTTAATACAAATGGCTGCCTCAAAATCTTTTAGAGTTAGATAGGCCATAAGCCAGTAAAATATTAAAAAGGCCAAGGTTAGAAAGCCTCAAAAGAGGATGATCTCTATGAGGTCATTTAAATGCTATTCAGGTGAAAAGGGGAATTAGAGAGGCTATCCAGAGTTAAGCAGCAGGAGCACTAATGAGCTCTGGAAAGAACACTACACATTAAGATTGCTGAATAGGCTGGTTAACATCAAAAGTTCTATTTAGAGGCAGGACAACAAAGTAATCCTGTACACTTGTAGACATACCCCATACCACTGATGGACAGAGTCATTAATTCGCTAAAGATAAATAATTCTGTCCTTTATCAGAGGGCAGTGCTCTGCTTATCAAGGAAAGATCTAGTTCTAAAAAGCCAAATAATTTAAAGTTCTTTAGCATATCAAGAATGAAAAACAACCAAGAGAAAGAAGGAAGAAAGATGCTTACCAGACTATCTAGTCCTCCTCCCAAGAGATCCACTGCTCCCACCTGCATGGAGGATACCTGTGGCACATTGACTGGTGGACCGAGATCAAGGTTTAAAAGGTCCCCTAGAAGGTCACCTTGAGAGGGAATAACCTGAGTCTGTTCCAGGTTGGTGGCAGTGGCGGTGCCAACAGGGCTGTCACCTGCATCAGTGCTGTAGACACACATACAAAGAAGGGAAAAGAGAAAAGTCAGTTTCACCTGGGACGTAATAACATGGCAACAAGTGAATGTCAGGTATGTAAAAAATTGGTGAGTGTGTGTGTGTGTGTGTGTGTG